GTAAGGAAAGAAATAAAGATTAGAACAGAAATAAATAACAGAGATTTAAAAATAAAAAACAAAACACACACACACAAAAATCAATGAAACCAAGAGCTGGTTCTTTGAAAAAATAAACAAGATGGATGAACCATTAGCTAGACTCATCAAGAAATGGAGAGGATCCAAATAATTATAATCAGAAACAAAAGTGGAGAAGTAACTACTGGCACCACAGAAATACAAAGGATTGGAAGAAAATACTATGAACAACTATATGCCAACAAGCTGGACAATGTGGATGAAATGGATAAATTCCCATAAAAATACAATCTCCCAAAAAGGAATCAGGAAGAATTAGAAAACCCGAATAGGCCAATAACGACTGAGGAAATAGAAGCAGTAATAATAAAAAAAAATCACAGCAAACAAAAGCCCAGGTCCAGATGACTTCACAGGGGAGTTGTACCAAACATCCAAAGAAAAACTAACACCTATATTCCCTCAGCCCAGCCTGCCCCCTCTCACAGTCTGGGAGCCCTCAGGGGTGGGAGGTAACCCAGAAATCAGGGGAATGCGATGCCCCCATCAAACCTCTGCTGCTGCCACTGCCAGCACTGCAAACCTTGGCTGGCCCTGGTTACCTGAGCCTCGGGCGGCCTTGGACAGCTGGACAACTGCCATCTGAGGTTTGCCTGCACCTCGGGCCAGCCCTGCATGGCTGGGCAGCCAACGTCCGAGGCTTGCCTGTGCTTCAGGCCTGCCCTGGGCAGCTGTGGGGCTGAGTAGACTAGGGACTCTGGAGGCAGGCATGCAGAGTGGCTGGACCCATCTGGGCGGCGGGCCTGGCTGTGCCATGCACCTACCAACCTGGCAGGGCTGAGGGGACTGAGTGCTGCCATCTTGTGGCCATAGGTGTCGCCATTATTTTAGGGTGTGATGGTCAATTAGCATATTCACTCCTTATTGGATGTGGGCACCGCCATCTTTGTGAGGGCATGATGGTCTATTAGATAGCCCATGGACACAGAAGAGGTCAATGGGGGGGAAAGGAGGACATATGCAATACTTTCTACAATAAAGACTTAAAATCAATAAAAAAGAGAAGCTAGATGGCTTGTTCTCTCTTACCATGATTGTGGTCAGATTTGGGGGACAGCCTATCTGGGCTTCTCCACACAGTCTAGTCTCTCCAGGTGGGCTAGTTTGGGCTTCTCTCCTGGTGGTGGCCTCAGGCAGTCAGACTTCTTGCCTGGCAGCTCAGGCCCGGGGCCAGATTTCAGAAGAGGCAGAGGCGGCCTCACCTCTTCCGCTCCACCCTCGGGAGCGAGGCAAGGCCTCTCTGCCATCTGTTAGTTACAGGCCACTCACAAGCCCCAGATGAGGAGAGAGGGCACACAAAGCTCCCTCTGAGTTGGCGGGGTCTCAAGGTTAAGAAAAATATGTGGACGGACATTACTGCAGCCATCTTCGGAGATCCCGGGCTGACTCCGCTTGGCACTCACCTAAGTCCCACCTCTACAGTCAGTGCCCCCGACCACCCACCTGGTCACGGCCTACAAGGCCCAATTCTAAATGGAAACCGTTTATTGACAAGCCTCAATTCCCTGGGATGGAAAACATGATACAGTAGTCCCCCTTTTCCACTGTTTCAATGTCATTGTTTCAGTTACCACTATGATAAAAAATAAATAAATAAATAGGAAATTCCAGAATTAGGGAACTCATGCTTTAAATTGCATGCCATTCCAAACAGAGTGATGACGCATCTTGCCATTTGACTCTGTCCTACATGGGACCTGAATCACCCCTCTGTCCAGCGTCTCCATACTCACACGCTACCCACCTGTTAGTCAGTTAGCAGTCCTCTCGGTCATCAGCCTGGCCGTCACAGTATGGCAGTGCTTGTGTTCAAGTCACCCTTATTTTACTTAATGACGGCCCCAAAGTGCAAGAGCAGTGATGCTGGCAATTCGGATGGGCCAAAGAGAAGCAGTCAAGTGAAAAGATAGTATGTATGCATGTGAAAAAACATCGTAAATATGTTTAGGTTCTTAGGCATCCACAGTTTCAGGCATTCACTGAGAGTCCTGGACCAGGTCCTCCATGGATAAGGGGGACTTCTATATTTTCCTCTGTTTTTAAGTGACTTCCCCCACCTGCTATCTACGCTAATTTTCTTTATTCTTCTGCAAAAAGGTGGAAAAAGGGAGCCTTAATGACAATTTCACTGGATTCTCATTCATTTTAAAACTCGGTCTTGGATATTAGATCATCCTTTGAAATGATCGCTCCTGTTTGTAGGTGTGACAATGGGTGAGAGGATGGCCTAGTTCTGAGAGGACACAGGGGGATGTGTTTAGGAGCCAGGACTCAGGATGACTCAGCAGATATTCACGTGTGCATGCATGTGTGCGTGCACACACGTGTGTGGATTGAGAGAGAGAGAGAGAGAGGAGAAAAACAAACAACATAAAATGTGAACAACTGCTGGTTCTAGTGGACTGAACCCTAGGTGCCTAGAGGAGGGAAGGTTCTCCCCTTCTGAGAACTCTGCCATCCCGCACTCCTTTCTCCTCCCCTTTTCTGAGGTGTGTGTGTTGGGGGGTGATGAGGTAACACTGGGCTTGCCCTATCTGAGTTCTTTGGGTAGGTGGCTGGTTCCCATGGCTGTGACCTTGACCTTAGGCTGTGGGGTGGTTGGCCACTTTTGTCCTCAGCTTTGGCCCTGGTGGCAATCCTGGAGGTCCTGGGAAAGTGCATTCGACATCCTGTTACCGCCCTCTGAGGGCAGACTGCATTTGGCGTCCAGCAGCTGCTGGCTGAGAGTCTCACCCACGGCCAGGGACCTTCGGAAATGTGCGGGTTGTTTGTTGTTGCCGCGGTGCCTCTGGGGAGGGCTGCTTTGGGCAGCTGTTCTCTAGCTTTTTTACTTCATTTCCAACTCCACCCTGAGGACACGCCAGCCCTCCCGCCCTCAGTGTGCGCCCAGCGCTGCTGCCCCCCAGCCGGGAACCGGCCCCCTCAGAGCTGGGCGACCCGCCCTCCAGTCAGGTCTCTGCTCAGGGTCCGGTGCCACGCACCCTGGTGATGGGGCGAGGTCACCTGTTAGGGCAGGGATGTTAACCCCGCTGTCCCCGGGTCTACTGACGTTTCTTTTCTTTTCTTTTTTAAAAATTCATTTTTATTGATTTCAGAGAGGAAGGGAGGGGGGGAGAGAGACATCAAAGATGAGAATCACTGATTCTCATCACCTCCTGCATGCCCCCCACTGGGGACTGAGGTGCCCGGACCAGGAATCCAGCCCTCAACCACTGAGCCATGCTGGCCGGGCTCTTCATTGATGTTTCTCTTTCTCTCCCTTCCTCTCTGAAATCAATAAAAATACACTTAGAGGAAGAAAAGACAAGAAAAGAAAAAACACACCAAAAAACAAACAGGTGACTCTTATGAGATGTATATTATACTTCAATTAAATAAAACAAAGCGCATATTGGTTGAGGACGTGAATGAATGCCCTGCCGGCACCTGCCTTACTCTGTGCCCTGCCCTGGCGACACGGGGGCCACGGTGTAACCAAGACAGCCCTGTCCCTGCCCTCGCAGGCCACAGGGCAGCACAAGTGGTGGGGCCTGGACCGGGAGGCACAGGCAGGGGGCTCAGCCAGGAGGGGGAAGGGCTGCCGAGGGGGAGGGGAGCTGGGCGGAAGGGAGGTGAGCTGGACGCCGGGGCGGGTGCAGGAGCAATCAGAAAGAACTTCCTGGAGGAGCCAGCGGCGCAGCCAGAGCCTGGAGAGTCACGCTGCTCATGACCGAGACTCCAATTTTAAAAAGCCCTTCTGTCTTAGTATCCGCGGGGGTCTCGGCTGGAGCCACGGAGGCGGCGCCCCGGATTCCGAGAACAAGGCCACCAGGGGGCGCTGTTCCGCCGCGCCCGCCGCAGCGCCCACGCGGTCCGGCGGCGGCGGGGCCGGACGGCGGGAGCCCAGACGGCCCGGAGACGCCGCGGCCACGTGGATGGGAGAGCCGCTGGGCGGGAGAGGGCGCCGAACACCCCGAGGTGGCGCCACGCACAAAGGAGGGTGCTGGGTGCCGCACATGGCCCTGAGGGGACGAGGCCACCCGCTGGAGCAGGGACGCTGGCTGGTTCTGTCCCACGTCTATTCCGAGCCCCCAGCCCCGGGGAAGCAGAGGGCGGGAGGTGACCCCCTGATCTGCGGTGTCAGCGGAGAAGCCCCAGAACTGGGGCGTCTCCATCGGGCGAGGGAGGGAGGAGGGGGATCGGCTCAGGGAGCTTGCATCAGTGGGGCTGGGGCAGGGGGGGATGCGGGGGGAGAGGATAAAGGGGGGTCTGAGAAAGGCCACCCTGGGCACAGGGAGGGTGGTGTAAGGTCAGCCTCTGCAGAGAAGAGCTGACTCCGTCCCTGTTCTCTGTGGCTGCGTGGCCTTTCCCCACCCACCCAATGGTGGGACCAGCCCTGCCAGCCTCAGCCCTCCCGGCCCTCCCTCAGCGCCTGTAGAGCAACTGCCGATGCCTGGCTGCGCTGCCCACACCAGCCTCACTCACGGCCCAGCGGGCACCGGGCAGGGACTGCCCTGGATGGGCGGCAGAGGCAGGACTCAGGGCCCTTAGGATCCAAGTGTGTGTGTGGGGGGGGGGGGGGGAGTAGTGCTCCTGACCCAGCCTGAAGGGTCAAAGGTCTTCCTAAACTTTGAAAGGGCTGTCTGGGGGCGGGGCCTGGGGAGAGGGTCCATTGGTAAGAAGGGGCTGCTTGGCCCCAGGCCTGCAGGAGTGGACTCTTTGGTGAAAGTGCCCCGGCCGGACCCACAGCTGATGGACTCCTGAGGGCGGACCCTAGCGGTTCCCTCTCAGCGGGTGGATACTAACTGGCCTGCAGATACGACTCCCGGCTGCCCCACCAATCAGGGGTATGACGTGGGAGAGTGACAGTTCCCCACCCCTAAAATGGAGAGATGACATTGGGCTTCACCAAACCCGTCACCTCATTTTAAAGCGCTATAAAGAGTTAAGAGTATAATTTACATATAATATATTTAAAAATATATAAGGTAGATTATATTAAGGGGCCCCAAAACAAGACAGACTTACAACATGCTGCCACATCAAATGACACTTTGGTCTGTTACAGAGAATACAGCCCATGAACAAGAATGGACCAGCTCATACTATTCCAAACCTCGGTAACGAGAAGGGATTTTAATACTGAACTTATTAGCAGCAGATGAGAACTTTAATTCCTGGGTTCAAACTCTTAAGTATCAGGAAGGGGTGATCAGTGGTGGGCACCCTTTACTACTCACCTCTCTGTGCCAGGCCAGCCGCTACCTGCTGCTACGCTCTGACCCGGGGTATCATGCAGGGAGCCCCTCTTGCTTTGGGGGCGCCTCAGGAGAAAGGCTGCGACCTCATCGTCCCTCCCAGACACACACCCAGCTGTCCTGAGGGGCACCGTTATAGTCTTCCTTTATTGGCTATCCTGGTATAATACAAATCTGCAAGTTTAGATACAAAAAAATCTGGAAATAAAAGATAGAAAAGTACCCGCCAGGCACCCCTCCCCCTTCCTCTGGGCCCCTCCCCAGGGGGCACCAACGTGAGGTAACTGAGCATCTCCTCCTCCTCCCCCCAAACTCACTTCCCAGCGTGGCCCTGCCCCCAAGAGACCTTGTCCGAAGGAAGGTGTGGGCCGAGGGGGGGAGGCCAACGGGTGAGCACAGCATTGGCAGTGAACGCAGCGGGTGGGCAGAGGGAAGCCCTTGGCTTGTGCTGTGTGGGGGGCAACCACGTGGGGCCCAGGAGAGCCCCTAAATGGACATCCCTCCCTCATCCCACCAACAATGGGAGGTGGACGGTCAACAACAGAAACTGGGAACTAGCTTGAACGAGGGCACTCGTGGGCCTGCAGCCGGGCCGGGTCTGTCCCTGAATTCCATCCTGTGGAAACCTGGGCGTCACATGTCGGTTCTATAGTGGTTGTGGGGGCGGTGGAGAGGAGGAGTTAGAGGGATGTGGAGGGGCGAAGCCCCAGAGAGCAAGGTGAGGGGAGAGGCGGGCCTCCGCTCCTGGGTGCGGGCACCTCGAGGCCTGGGGTGGGCAGGGCGGCTGGGGCTACAGTTCAATCTCGAAGGTCTTCTGCAGGTCGCCCGAGAAGGGGTTGGAAGGCTTCTCTGCAGCGGGTTTGCCCTCTAACGCCGCCCACTGGGCCTCAAAGGGGTCCAACTCGGGGGCTGGGGTGGGTGCTGGCTCTGGGGGCCAGGGAGCCGCGTTGGGGCGTGGGGGGGCCTGGCCCCCGGGGGCACTGGGCACAGCAGGTGGGGGGAAGGCTCCGGCCTTCCCAAGCAGGGCGGTGGGCTGCGGCTGGAGCTGGGCAGCTGAGCAGAAGGCGTTGGCCACCATCTGTGAGGGTGTGATGCCCACCACGGGCACGCGGGGCATGGGCGGGTAGCCCAGGCCTGGGTAGGCGGGCACAAAGGGGGGCTGCATGTGTGGGGGTGGCAGGAACAGCGCCACCTGGGCGGGTGTGGCATCGAAAGGCCCCACGGGGGCGGGGAAGGGCTGCAGGGGAGGGGGCACGGCGGGCACCGAGGACACCTGCTGCTGCTGCTGCTGCTGCTGCACTTTGGCCACCTGGGACACCTCCTCCAGCCACCGCTCGGCCTCCGAAGGCGTCCGCTTGTGCCCAGGCTGGAAGGCGGCTGCCGGCGACGCGGAGGGCTCGCCCCAGGCAGACGGCCCTGCACAGAGGAGAGGGCGGTGAGAGCCAGGCCTGGGATCGGACTCTGAACCGGGCCTGGATCCATCCTGGACCACAGAGGGTTCTGCGGTGCTAAGAACACCCAGGGCTGGGATCCTACGGCCCCAAGATGGGAGCATACAGGCAGGACTGCAACCATCACCCAGGCGGCTTCACCTCCGACGGTGAGCGCCTAACCTGGTGTCACCCATGTTAACGGCACCCTAAGGCTCCATAGATCTTTCTCACCCTAACGTGATGAGGAAGGTTCGATGGTTTTGTCTCCGTTTTCTAAGAGCTTTGCACTGACATTGTTGGCAAGCCTCCGTGCTCCGCTGGTTCTAAGGTAAGCCCCGAGGCTGAGGTGACTCCGCTGGGATGCCTCAGCGAGCACTCCCCTAAAGCTGGGAGACTCCAGGGTCATGGCCCAAATCTGTTCCATTCCAGTATTCTGTCATGATAAGGCTAGAGGCTTCCGGCTTTTATTATTCTAAGACCGGAAGTCTTTCTTAAAATATGTTTTTATTTATTTTTTAGACATAGAGGAAGGGAGAGGGACACAGAATCAATCGGCTGCCTCCTACACACCCCCTACCGGGCATGTGCCCTGACCAGAACTAAACTGGTGGCCTCTTGGTGCACGTATGACGTTCAATCCACTGAGCCACGCTGGCAGGATCAAGACAGGAAGGTTTAAAAATGATTCCATGGCCCTGGCCGGTTTGGCTTAGTGGATGGAGCGTTGGCTGTGGACTGAAGGGTCCCAGGTTTGATTCCGGTCAAGGGCATGTACCCTGATTGCGGGCACATCCCCAGTAGGGGGTGTGCAAGAGGCAGCTGATCGATGATTCTCTCTCATCAGTGTTTCTAACTCTCTATCCCTCTCCCTTCCTCTCTGTAAAAAATCAATAAAACATATATATTTTTTAAAATGATCCCATGGCCCAGCTCGTGTTTCTCAGTGGTTGAGCATCAACCTATGAACCAGGTCACGCTTAGATTTCCAGTCAGGGCATATGCACCAAATGTGGTCTCGATTCCAGTGGGGGGCATGCAGGAGGCAGCCAATCAATGATTCTCTCTCATCATAGATGTTTCTAACCTCTCCCTTTCCCTGCCTCTCTAAAATAAAAACGTATTTAAAAATAAAAGAAAAATAGCCAAAACCGGTTTGGCTCAGTGGATAGAGCATCGGCCTGCAGACTGAAAGGTCCCAGGTTCAATTCCGGTCAAGGGCATGTACCCTGATTGCGGGCACATCCCCAGTAGGGGGTGTGCAAGAGGCAGCTGATCAATGATTCTCTCTCATCGATGTATCTAACTCTCTGTCCCTCTCTCTTCCTCTCTGTAAAAAATCAATAAAACATATATATTTTTAAATATATTTTATTGATTTTATACAGAGAGGAAGGGAGAGAGATAGAGAGTTAGAAACATCGATGAGAGAGAGTCATCGATCAGCTGCCTCTTGCACACCCCCTACTGGGGATGTGCCCGCAACCAAGGTACATGCCCTTGACCAGAACCGAACCCGGGACCCTTCAGACCCCAAGCCGACGCTCTATCCATTGAGCCAAACCGGTCCCGGCAACATATTTTAAAAATAAAGAAAGAAAAAGAAAAAGGATCCCATTGTGCCCTGGTCAGGTAGCTCAGCTGGTTGGAGCACTGTCCCATACACCAAGGTTGCGGGTTTGATTCCTGGTCAGGGCACATACCTAGGTTGCAGGTTGTCCAGGTAAGAGCACATCTGGAAGGCAACTGATCGATGTTTCTCCCTCTCCTCCTTCGTCTTTCAAATCAATAAAACCATGTCCTTGGGTGAGGATTAAGAAAACAAAATGATCCCCTGGTTCTGAGGTGCCGGAGCCCTAAGATGACCCAGGTCCCTGGAGCCCTGAGTGACCCTGAGCGGAGCAGGAGGGTGCAGGGGGCACCTAGGAAGGGCTGGGCTCACCGGTCGAGGCGGGCGGCGGCCCTGGGGCTGGGGCCCCAGCACTGGCAAAAGACGAGCTGATCTGCGTGCACAGAGCACTGATGCTGTCGCTGTCGCTGGCACCAGGTGGCTCCATCTCCGGCACTGGGGGGTCAGGGAGAGGCGGAGTCAGTGAGGCCCAGACCCTGTGCCTGACCCCTCTGCCCTCGGCTGCCCTCTCACAAGGTGTGTGGGTGGGTGGTAACTAAGTGGCCATGGTCACTCTGCATACGTGTGTGTGACATCTGGGTGGTGCCAGCAGTGTGGCGCGGGGGCAGGGAGAGGCTACACCTGGATCAGGGGTCTTCAAACTACGGCCCGCGGGCCACATGCGGCCCGCAGAGGAGTCTGATCCGGCCTGCCAGGTTTTTTGGGCAGTGAGCGCAGCCGAGGTGTTACAGTAGGAATTAGTAGTTCATATAGTCCGGCCCTCCAGCTCTCTGAGGGACCGTGATCTGGCCCCCACTTTAAAAAGTTTGAGGACCCCTGAGATAGTCTGGATGGGCCCACAGGCCAGGGCAGGGCAGCACGGAGACTGCTTCTGCACCTCCCCTGGGCGGTCTCCTCCGCCCCAGGTGCGCTGCTCCAGGATCAGGGCATCGCCGGCCCTAGGCAGGCAGGTAAGCTGTCTTCCCCTTACCTGGCAGGCCACACCCGTACCCCGCCAGCCTGCCCTGTCTTTTACAACCTCCTGGCGCCTGCACGTGGCACAGCGGGTACTCATGTCATCTTGCCTCTGCCCACGATGTGTCTCGAAGTAAATCCCTTAATAAACTCCTGGTGTCGTGATGGAGTCATCGGCCTCTTTCTCTGCTCTCTTGGCCCTGGGAAATTTTCCCCACAGTTGGATGGCAGTCACAGGGACCCCAAATCAAGGTGGACCTGTCTGTAGCTACAAACCAGAAGAAAGACTTAAAACTGTTTAAAAACGAATAGTGGCCGGTCAGGGGCACAGTGGGTGAGCATCAAACTATGAACCATGATGTCACGGTTCAATCCCAGGTCAGACACATGCCTGGACTGCGGGCTCGATCCCCAAAAGGGGGTGTGCAGGAGGCAGCCAATCAATGATTCTGTCTCATTGGTGTTTTTATCTCCTCCCTCTCCCTTCCTCACTGAAATCAATACAATTATACTATAAAAATAAAAACATATAATAATTTTAAAAATATATTTAACCACATAGTAGGTGGCAAGAGCACTGACCAGTCAGAATGGATGTGGGCCACATGGGCTGGAACCCCTTGTCCTGCTTTGAGTGGCTAATGGGGCCTGTAGCACAGAGCACGAGGGCAGAGACAAACCTGTGCCAGGAACACAGGGAGCAGATGTGGGGCCTCAGAGCACTTGAGACGAGCAAAGGGACCAACTGAATGAACGGCAGTGTGGGCGACGAGTGCCCGCGCCATCTCAGCAAGCCGGTGTGAGCGTGAGGAGGAAACTGACCGCAGGAGTCCGCGGTGGGACGTGGGGTGGGCAGGTGGGAGGGTGGGCGGCTCCCACGTCATTTACATGAACGTGTGTGTGTTAGTCCGAATGAGCGTGAGGCTTCTGAGGCTGTGGCATCTGAGTGTGACGGAAACCCAGTGTGTGATGACCTGACTGATTCCCAAGTGTGAGCCAATCTGCCTGCATGATGTACGAACACGTTTGCAAGCATGCATGACTCTGCATGTGTGACTTCCAAGTGTGTGTGAATGGGGGGGTGTAACTGCAACTTCCAATTATATGTGATTTCAGGGTACACATGACGAAGTGTGTGACTGGAGTGTATGACACCTGCAGCAGACTGTAACACCGTGTGAGCTGGTGACATTTCTGTGTGGCAAGTTGCGTCTAAGCAAACAAGCAATTGGCTACAGGAGTGTGAGGCCCCCATGTAAAGCTGGGGAGCCTGTCCCCTCCAGGCAGCATGTGTGCAGCCCCGGGGTGAGCTGAGCGTCAGGCGGTAAGAGGACAGCAGAGGGACGCTGCCTGCCGAAGGAGTGAATGCTTAGCAAGCCCTGGCACCTGCCCCGCAGACACCCCCTGGAGCCACCCAGCCTCCTGGATACCACACCCCACACCAGCCCTGGGGCCGTGAGGGTGGTTGTCTCAGATGAGGTGTCTGGAGGCAGGGGAGCAGGCCAGACCAGTGACTGACAGCTGGGAGGAAAGGCAGCCTCCTGCCTAACTCTCTTGCACAAAACGTGTACGCCTCCTCTCTTCTCCCTATCTCACCGCAGATGTTGCTTTATTTTTTCTTTAAATATATTTTTATTGAGTTCAGGGAGGGGGAGGGAGAGAGAGAGTGATAGAAGCATCAGTGAGAGAGTGTCATTGACCAACGGCCTCTGGCTTGCCCCCTACTGGGGATTGAGCCCACAGGGGTGCAAGCAGTGTGTGGCACTGGGGTAGAGGAGAGACTACGCCTTGGTAGTCTGGTCTAGACCCACAGTGTGTCCTGGGCATGTGCTCTGACCGGGTTCGAACCATGACCTCCTGGTCCACTGGTCGGCGTTCATCCACTGAGCCACATCGGCTGGGCCAGACATTGCTTTACATCAGGACATGTACCATCTTTCTCCTTTTCCGGCCCATCACAGACATTAGTAATCAAACACAATGTTTCTTCCTCCCCACCCCCCACTCTCCCCATCCCCCCACCCCCGCCACTGAACTCTGCTCACCTCACCCCTCACCTGGCTCTGGCCTCCTCAGGCCAAATCCTGGAAGACAGGACTGATCCTTGTGACTCCAAGCAAAACAGGACATTTAACTGCCTCTCTCCCAGCATTCCCCACGGCAGACATTGCTAATCAACATGGTGGGCCTTGCCCTAGCCTGATCCTCTGCCCTCAGGTGACACCACCACCACGCTCCCTGGCCCTGCGATTCCTGCTCCCTGTGCCTCCGCTGCACGTTTCCTCTGGAATTCCGCTCTCTCCTAGGGTGAGAACACAGCGTGCCCATTGCTCTCCCTGCTCCCTGGCCCACAGCAAACTCTGCTGATTATTCACCTGCCGTGCCACCTTCTCCTTTCCTCGCTCTCGCAGACACTGGAAGGAGATCACGATGTAAGCTCTCACCCTCTTCCCCCTGCCTCAGGCCTGAATTCACAGCCTGGCCCATCTCCTGGCTTCATGGGGGAGGCTGGTGCCTCCGTCTCCTCCTGAGCAAAACCATAACACAGGTGCAGCCTCCTCCTCCCATGTCCACTGCACTTCGCACTTCGCGGGCAGGTCCTGCAGGCCGCCCTGCACTTCCCTGGCCACAGCCCACGGAGCTCACTGGTCATGGTCTGTGCCACCTTTTACACTTTGTCCACAGCGGACACTGCTGACCCAGCACGATTTCCTCTCTCCTCTCTCTGGCCCGCGGCAGACTGCTCCCTGACCACAGCTGTCCACTCTCCCCTCTGCACGGGGACAGTGCCGCTGGGTCTCACAGGCAGCGGGGCCGACCCCGGGCTCACCTGTGCTCTTCACCTGGAAGTCGGTGCGGCGCTGCAGCGTGGACGGCAGCTCGTTGAGCCGCAGGCTCAGCTGCCGCTTGAAGGGCGAGTTCTTCTGGCTGAGCGCCGGGAAGCCGCGGAAGGAGCCCTGGCGCACCAGCTGCTCCAGCGGCGCGTGGCGCCGGGGGATGGCCGCCGCCGTGGTGCCCGCGGCCACGGGGGTGCCCGCCTCGCCCTTCTCCCCGGGGGACGTGGTGGCTGGTGTGGGGGACACGCGCCCGGGCTGGGCGGGGCCCGGAGCCGCGGTGGGGGCAGCCGCCGCCTCTGCTGGAGACACGGAGAGGGCGGTCAGGTAGCTCGGCGGCGCCGGAGGCCCCCCACCGGCTCCCCTGGGTCGTTCCCCACCGATTACCCTGCCCTCCAGACGGGCTGGTCGGGGGGCCATGCATGCCCCTCACCCCACCCAAGTCAAGACCACTTCCCCAGGAAGCCGCTGAGGAATTTCACCCCAACCTCACCTCGGTGTCTTGCTAGCTTTCTGCCACCCGCCTCTTTCCTCTGCTGTTCCCCCGTTTTCCCTGTGAGACCTTCTATCTCCTCTCCTGACTAGTGGAATGGACACTTGTTTGGTGCGTGATCAATGGACCGGGCCTTGTTCCAAGTGCCTGGCAATTATTAACTCACTCAATCTTCAAAACCACCCCTGAGGTCAATACTACCGACATCCCCATTTCACAGAGATGAAAACTGAGGCTCAGCAATGGCAAGTGCCCACGCCACAGTGCTGGAAAGAGGCAGGCTGACTCGAGTTGGTGATCCAATTACCCTAACCCCGTGGTCGGCAAACTGCAGCTCTCGAGCCACATGCGGCTCTTTGGCCCCTTGAGTGTGGCTCTTCCACAAAATGCCACGGCCTGGGTGAGTCTATTTTAAAGAAGTGGCCTTAGAAGAAGTTTAAGTTTTAAAAATTTGGCTCTCAAAAGAAATTTCAATCATTGTACTGTTGATATTTGGCTCTGTGGATTAATGAGTTTGCCGACCACTGCCCTAACCTGTCTCTCCCTCTGGCTTGGTCTCTGCTTGTCATGCTGTCTTCCTCTATCATTCATCAGTTCTTTCCGTCTCTGTACCTCCCACCATTCTGCCCACCTCAACCACCTCCTCCCTTCCTCCAGCTGCTACCCATCCTTCCAGACCCAGCTGACACACTTCCTCTGGGGAGCTTTCCCTTCAGCCTGTCTCCCTCCCTCCGCTCAGGGTATTCCCAAGGCCTGCTCTTCCGTGAGGGGACCCTGCCCCCCCCCACACCCTCCCATCAGGGCCCACTCAGCTGCAGCCTGAATGCCGGGAGATTAAACTCAGGTGCAGAGAGGGCAGGAGGTCACCTGGCATTTCCTCTTCCATCTTCCAGGTTGAGAAGCCTGGGACAGGATGGAACCAGCAACTACCTTTACCCCACCCCCACCCCCACCCCCTTTAGGGACCTTAGGAAGTGCCCCCGGCTCTCTGGGCTCCAGCTTCTGAACTATAACTGGGCCTCCTGAGAGGGTCAGTTGAGGCAGTAAATGTTCCATGCTTTTCCTTCCTCTCTGAAATCAATAAAAATATATATACATATTTTTTATAAAGAATGCTATTGATAAACCAATAAAAATTAGTTAAAAATTAGTTTTCCTGCCAGGACCGGTTTGGCTCAGTGGATAGAGCGTCGGCCTGGGGACTAAAAGGTCCCGGGTTCGATTCCGGTCAAGGGCACATACCGTGGTTGCAGGCGCATTCCCAGTAGGGGGTGTGCAAGAGGCAGCTGATCGATAATTCTCTCTCATCGATGTTTCTAGCTCTCTATCTCTCTCTCTTCCTCTCTGTGAAAAATCAATAAAATATATTTTTAAAAAAATTAGTTTTCCTAACATCTTAGTTAGAACTATTTTAAACTTACAGAAAAGATATTATAATGGAACAATGGGTGTGCATATTTCCTATCTTTAAAAAAAAAAAAAAAAAGATGTTTTTACTGATATTTAGAGAAAGGGGAAGGAGGTAGAAACATGGATGAGAGAGAAACATCAATCGGCTGTCTCCTGCACACCCCCTACTGTGTATCAAACCCACAACCCAGTCATGTGCCCTGACTGGGAATTGAACCAGTGACCTCTTGGTGCATGGGACAATGCTCAATCCACTGAGCCACACCAGCTGGGCAAGCATGCAGGTTCTCTTAGCCTAAGGTTCCCCAGAGTTAACATGTTATCATATGTGCTCTCTCCCTCCTTCTATAATTTCCCCCTACCATTTAAGAGTAACTTTCAGTGTGGCCAGCATGGCTCAGTGGTTGAGCCTTGACCTATGAACCAGGAGGTCACGGTTCGATTCCCCATTAAGGGCACAAGCCTGGGTTGTGGGCCGATCCCCAGCAGGAGGCAGCCAACCAATGATTCTCTCTCATCATTGATGTTTTTATTTCTCTCTCCCTCTCCCTTCCTCTCTGAAATTTATTTTTTAAAAATAAAATAAGAGATATTATTCTAATTAAAAAAAAAGTAATTTTCAGACAACTTAACCCAAGCCTTCAGCATGTACCTCCCAGGAACAAGGACAGTCTCCTACACCTGCAGCCTATTCCTCACATGGGGAACTGACCATGAGCTCAATATTGTCAGCCAGCCCACAGGCCGTATTCCAGTTTCCCCAACTGTCCAGATCATGTCCTTCATAGATGTTCTTTTTTACATACATGCAGCACCACACACTGCATTTAATAACACTTGTCAAATCTCTTCAGTCTCTTTTAATCTGGAACAGTCCCAAAAGTAAATTCTTTATCAATTTTAAGCAGTATTTTAAAAATATCTTAAAACTAGAATCCAGCCGAAACCGGTTTGGCTCAGTGGATAGAGCGTTAGCCTTGGGACTGAAAGATCTCAGGTTCGATTCCGGTCAAGGGCATGTACCTTGGTTGTGGGCACATCCCCAATAGTGGGTGTGCAAGAGGCAGCTGATGGATGATTCTCTCTCATCGATGTTTCTAACTCTCTATCCCTTTCTCTTCCTCTCTGTAAAAAAATCAATAAAATATATAAAAAACAAAACAAAACTAGAATCCACAGAAAAGAAAAATGAAGTCACATTGTGACTTAGCATATAATACACTTACGTTGAAAAAAATTTTTTTTAATAATTTACAAAGGTATTTGCCAGTCACTTAGAATGTTAGTCTATCAGATGTTTATCAAGCTTTCTTGATGGCAACCAGAGTAAGAAATGCCTTTACATGATAACCTAGTCCACGTATAAACATACACAAATGAAATAAAGATATCATTAAGCCATGCTTATCCTTAAGCATTCGCTGGCTCTGTATTTTCCATTTCATCTTCGTTGTACGCGCTGTGGGAAGCCTGGGAACCTGCCTGAGTCGGCAGGTAGCAGAGCAACTTGTGAACTTTGCTGGGACCTGCGGCCTACAGAACCCTGCCCACAGGCCTCTGACCAAACGGGCTTTAGGAACTGGAACCCAACTCTGTGGTTGCGCTCTGCTTTGTAAGCTGTAGAGTCCCTGAGCGGCTGCAGCTTTCCCTGCAAACCGCACCCCCAGCCCCAGGGGCCCACGCTGTGCCCGCTGCCTGGGCGGCACCCACCTTTCTTTTTGTCCGGGGCTTCTCGGTCAGTGGGCCGCCCACCCCCCGACAGGCGGAAGGAGCCCTCGCGGGCGAAGCTGGTGCGGCTGGCATCGAAGGTAGCCGTGACCCCACACTCCTTCTCCCGCCGCTGTTTCCGCTCCAGGCAGGCAGCAAACGCACAGCCCACGGCGTGGCTCAGCCTCTCGCCCTGTGAGAAGCGGGGGAGGGGGCGGGGAGAAGAGTTGGAGACTCTGTGGTGTGCACCCTGGACACCAGGAGCCCTGGGTCCCAGCTCCCTCTGCCTCTCGGACCTCAGTGAACACCCGCCCCGAGGGACACAAATGACAGCCCTGAGTGAAAATAAAAAGCCAGCAACAAGGGTTCGAGACTGTGGAGATTCCTCAAAAAATTAAAATCAGAGCTGTCATATGACCCAGCAAGTCCACTTCTGGCTATTTATCCAAAGAAACAAACAAACAAAACAAAACAGAAACAGACCTATAAGATATATAGAACAAACTGATGGTTGTCAAAGAGAAGGGGGTGGGGATGGGAATTCAAAAAGAGTGCCATACTGGATAACTCCATTTATACGAAGGTCTAAAATAGGCAACACTGATCTTCGGTGAAAAAAGTCAGAACAGTGGCTCTTTCTTAGGGGGTGGGGTGGGGATGGGCTGGGAAGGGCAGGGCTGGTTGGGTGGTTGTCATGTTCTAAAGCTTGACAGGGGTTTGGGTTCCACAGGTGTATGCAGTTGTCAAAAGTATACCTAAGGCTTATGGTCAACATGTGTGGTTTTTTTTTCAAAACAGAAAGAGCTGGGAAGCTGCTGTGGTTGCTCCACTGGCCTGGTCTCCCTGGGTGTGGGCCCAGCACCACGGGGAAATGAGACAACCACGAGGCTTATGGAGTCCCAAAAGCTATGGCCAGTTCAAAGGCTTCCATCCAGTCTTCAGGTCAATGATCCAAGTCAGTTACCCGAATCAACAAGGGCCTACCTGGGAAGAAGTGAAATAACAACTAGAGAAGAAAAAGGAAGGCTCCAAGGAATTGGCTGAATTTGAAGAAAAAATGAATGAGAACTTGAAGAAAGACCAAGAAAAAGACCAGGGAGAACTGAGTAAGTGGAAATGGGAGCTCAGCCAAAAAAGGACCCCACCCCCAGCCCCACCGCGGTGCAAGGGAAAAAAATCTGGTGGGTATTCATCTTCTTCTTCAAGCTCTGCTTCTCCCAGCAGTTCCCTAAATTCTGAAGATGTGAATTTAAAAAAGAAAAAGAGCAACCATTCACATTAATCTACTGAAAGTGCTAATTTAGAGAGTGAATCAGAGAGAGGAGAGTTAAAAAATAAATTAAAAAAAAGGAAAAAGATGCAACTGAGCCCTGGCAGTGTGGCTTGGATGGTTGGGCATTGTCCCATGCACTGGAGGGCTGCTGGTTTGATTCCAGATCAAGGCACATACCTGGATTTCAGGTTTCATCCCTAGTGGGGTTTTTCAGGAGGTAGCCGATCATTGTTTCTCTCTCACATCAATGTTCCTCTCTCTCCCCCACTCTCTCTAAAAAGAAAATCAGCCGAAGCCAGTTTGGCTCAGTGGTAGGGCGTCGGTCTACGGACTGAAAGGTCCCAGGTTCAATTCCGGTCAGGGGCATGTACGTTGGTTGCGGGCACATCCCCGATAGGGGGTGTGCAAGAGGCAGCTGGTCGATGTTTCTCTCTCATCGACATTTCTAGCTCTCTATCTCTCTCCCTTCCTCTCTGTAAAAAATCAATAATATATAATATTTTTAAATTAAAATGACAAAAATTAAAGACAAAGAGAGAATCTTAAAGGCAGCAAGAGAAAAGAAAATTGTTACCTACAAAGGAGCTCCCATAAGGCTGTCAGCCGATTTCTCATTAGAAACTCTAAATGCAGAAGGGAATGGCATGAAGTATTCAAGGTAAGGAAAAGCAAGGATCTGAAACCAAGACGACTATAGTCAGCAAGGCTATCATTCAAAATAGATGTGACATAAAGATCTTCCCAGACAAAAAAAAAAAAAAAAGGCTAAAGAAGTTTATCACCACAAAAATAGCACTAAAAGAACAATATATATATGGAGAGTGAGAGAAGAGAGAGAGAGAAACATAGTGTGATAGCATGATATTAAACAATGAATGGGTTACCAATGAGATCAAGAATTAAAATAGCAATAAATAAATACCTATCAATAATAACCTAAAATGTAAGTGGATTAAATGGTCTAGTCAAAAGATGTAGGGTAGCGCCGAAGCCGGTTTGGCTCAGTGGTAGAGCGTCGATCTGCGGACTGAAAGGTCCCAGGTTCGATTCCGGTCAAGGGCATGTACATTGGTTGTGGGCACATCTCCGGTAGGGGGAGTGCAAGAGGCAACTGGTCGATGTTTCTCTCTCATCGACGTTTCTAGCTCTCTATCTCTCTCCCTTCCTCTCTGTAAAAAATCAATAAAAAATATATATATATATATTAAAAAAAAAAAGATGTAGGGTAGCTGAATGGATAAAAAAATGGGACTCAATTATATGCTGCCTATAAAAGCCCCACCTCAGAACAAAAGACTCACACAGGATGAGAGTGAAGGGATGGTAAAAAATCCCCCATGCAAATGGAAACAACAACAACAAAAAAGCTGGAGTAGAAATACTCATATCTGACAAAAAAGACTTCAAATGAAGGCCATGAGAAGAGACAATAAAGGTCACAACATAAACTAAACAGATTCCTCCAAGAAGAGAATATACACCCAGCATAGGAGCACCTAAATATACACATACACTTCTAGAGGACTTCAGGGGAGAGATCAACAGCAACACAGTCACAGCAGGGACTTTAACACCCTGCTGATTTCTCTGCACAGATCTCCCAGACAAAAATTAACAAGGAAACGGTGACTAATTGACATACTAGATCAGATGGATTTACCTGACATTTATAGAACATTTCACTCCACAGCTGCCGAATATACATTCTTCTCAAGTGCACATGGATCATTCACAATAGAGACCACATGTTAGGACACAAAACAAGTCTCTAGAACTTCAAGAAGATTGAAATTACATCAATTAATTGAAGATTCATGCATCTTCTCAGATTACAGTAGAATGAAATTAGAAAACTATTTAACCCTACAATTTAAAGAATTAGAAAGAGAACAAGAAAAGCCCAGAGTAAGTAAAAGGAAGGAAATAATAAAGATTAGAGCAGAAATAAATAGCATAGAGACAAAAAAAAAAAAAAAAAAAAAAAACAAAAAAAAAAAATCAATGAACCCAAGAGCTGGCTCTTTAAAAAGATAAACTAGATTGATGAGCCATTAGCCAGACTCATCAAGAAACAAAGAGAGCGCTAGCTGGTTTGGCTCAGTGTATAGAGCATCAGCCTGCAGACTGAAAGTTCCCAGGTTCAATTCCGGTCAAGTGCATGTACCTTGGTTGTGGGCACATCCTCGGTAGGGGGTGTGCAGGAGGCATCTGATCAATGTTTCTCTCTCATCGATGTTTCTAACTCTCTCACTCTCTCTCTCTTTCCCTTCTTCTCTGTGAATAAATAAATAAATAAAATATATATTTAAAAAAAAAAAAGATAGTGGACCAAATAAATAAAATAAAATCAGAAAAGAAAGCAAAGAAGTAACATCTAACACCACAGAAATAAAAGGATTGGAAGGAAATACTATGAACAACAAGCTGGATAATGTGGATATGTCAACAAGCTGAATAAAATGGATAAAATGGATAAATTTCTAGAAAAATACAATCTCCCAAAACTGAATCAGGAAGAATCAGAAAACCTCAATAGGCCAATAACAACAGAGGAAATATTGATAGAAGCAGTAATTCAAAAACTCCCGGAAAACAAAAGCCCTGGTCTGGATTGCTTCACAAGGGAGTTTTACCAAACATTCAAAGAGAACTAACACCTATACTCCTCAAACTATTCCAAAAAATCCAAGAGGAAGGAACACTTCCAAGCTCTTTTTATGAGGCCAGCATTATCCTAATTCCAGAGTCCGATAAAGAGAATTACAGGCCAAAGTCCCTGATGAACATAGATGCTAAAATCCTCAACAAAATATTAGCATAGCAAATCAGATCCAGCAATATATTAAAAAGATTATATACCATGACCAAGTGGGATTTACTTTAGGGATGCAAAGCCTGGGGGGGGTGTGTGTGTGGAGGAGGTGGTGGCGTAGGGGTTGGTTAGAAGGGGTCAATGAGGTAAATAGGAGGACATGTGTGATATTTTCAACAATAAAGATTTTATTTTTATTTTTTTAATATATTTTATTGATTTTCCACAGAGAGGAAGGGAGAGAGACAGAGAGCTATTGTAGAAACGTCAATGAGAGAGAAACATCGACCAGCTGCCTTTTGCACACCCCCTACTGGGGATGTGCCCACAACCAAGGTACATGCCCTTGACTGGAATTGAACCCGGGACCTTTCAGCCCTCAGGCTGACGCTCTACCACTGAGCCAAACCAGTTTCGGCAGATTTAATTTTTTTTAAAAGAGAAAAACCAGGATTCCCTTATAAAGAAAGTGTAATGTCTGAGGAAATTTCAACTGTGAGAATTGTAACATATCTATCAACACACATAATTTTTTTTTTTTTTTTTTTTTTTTTTAGAATTATTCTTGTACTGCTCTGTAGCCACTCAGATGTTGCCATGTGAAAGGGTCATAAAAGTTGCCAGGGGCTTGAATATGTGTCTTTTTCTCTTCTATTTCCTAATAACTCTGGGAGATAATGCACTGCAGTCATACCTAATGACTGATATTTGGGAATAAGCTAATTTTGACAAGAAGTATCTATATATCGATATATAAAAGCCCAAGTGACCATTCGACTGTTAGCTATGATGCACACTGACCACCAGGAGGCAGATACTCAACACACAGGCATGGAAACATGGAACAGACTGATGAATCTCAGAGGAAAAGGTGGAGGGTGGAAAGAAATTAACCAAAGATCTTATATGCACACTAGAGGTTTGGTGCACAGATTTATGCACTGCTAGGGTCCCCCTGCCTGGCCTGCAGAGATGGAGCTAAAACCAGCCCGGTGCATGGATTTGTGCACTGCTGGGATCCCTTTGCCTGGCCTACGGGGATCAGGTCAAATCTGTGCACCAGGCCTCCGACATCACCCAAGGGGTTCTGGATTGTGAGAGAGTGCAG